GTGTGTGAACCCTTTGTGCTCACTTTTGATCTTGACCACTTTGTTGTGGGTATAGGCAGTCAGCTGTTGCTTGCTTGCCTTTGTTGTTGAAGGCTGGGGCCGGAGAGGCAGCATCCTGGCAGGATATCCCTGCTCTGTCGAGTAGCTGGTGAGCAGTTGCTGTTTGATGGCCCACTGACCTTGATAGCTACTGTTTTGCAGCCAGTTGCCATGTTTGATTGAGCTGAAGCACAGGTGGGGCCTAACTGGTGATTTTAATGGTAGCAAATGCTGTCTTCCATTATAGCTCAGAAAACGTCTGACAATGGGAAGGGAGTTAGTTTGTGACAAATTACACATGCAAAGCCAAGGGTTTAATATGAAAGAAATTATATTTGCAAACAAGTATTTTAATCACATCATCCATCTCTTTTATTATGTTGTTACAGTTCTCCACAAAGACGGCTGAAGCAGACACTTCCAGTGAGCTAGCGAAAAAGAGTAAAGAGACATTTCGCAAAGAGGTGAGCCAGTGTCTGTAAACAATGTTTGCAGCAATGTCGTTTAACTCCAGATGTTTAATTTTTTCAAACTTCTACACCTTGATCTACAAGGAGATAAATGCCTTTTAGCCATGCATAAAAGTTTTACTTTGTTTTTTCTTTCTTTTATGTGCTTGTGTGTGTGTGTGTGTTACTCAGATGTCCCAGTTCATAGTGCAATGTCTAAATCCTTATCGGAAGCCAGACTGCAAACTTGGACGCATCAGCAACACAGAAGACTTCAAACACCTGGCTAGAAAGGTAACATTAAACAATAAGATGCTTATGCGTGCAGTTTGAACTTTTGTTAATGCTGAGAATCTTTGAGCCTTTCTCTGGCCTCTGTGTGGTCAGAGCACAATGAAAGCATTGGTCAGCTTTTGACTTAAAAGGAAAAGTTTTCAAAGTTTCCCTCAAACCAGAACTAAATAGTTGAGCTCCCACGATTCCCTTCTCCAGCCAAATGTTTTTGCATTGTGCCTCTGGAAGAGACTAAGAACACATTGTACATGTAAACTATTATCTCCCTCTCTTTTGTTTTACCCATTCCTTTCTAAAAGCTCTTTTCAACCAGCGTTTCTTCAAAGGTCTGCATTCTGTTTTTCCATGGTTCCTGGTGGGTCCATGGATTGTGTATGTAGGGAGTGGTTTGCACTCAGTGCCACTTGGACATACCAGGACTGTGAGGACATGGGGCACAGTAAACAGAAAGACGAGTTGGGCTTTACCAATTTAGAGATTGCGTTTTAATGTCTTAAATTATAAAAGGCAAAGTCACTAAAAGAGAATTAACCATCCAACCACTCTACCACAACTTAGATATACATTGTAATTACATAATTGACTTTAGTCTGGTGACAAGAAACATGTCTAACTTTTTCGTCTGCCCATTCTTCTAGCTAACTCACGGAGTCATGAACAAGGAGTTGAAAGCTTGCACCAATCCTGAGGACCTTGAGTGTAACGAGAATGTGAAGCACAAGACCAAGGAGTACATCAAGAAATACATGCAAAGATTTGGCTCTGTGTACAGGCCCAAGGAGGACACAGAAGTGTACTAGGCTCGGAGGCCTCAGATGTTGCACTTGCTCTGCGCTGACACAGGAGAAGCACAGATTTGCCTTCACGTTCACTCCTTCATGTATGTACTGGCCAGTCCGAATTGTGAAGTAGTTTCTTATGCATATTTATGACTCAGAATTGCACTGCTGCCCAAGAAGCTCTCCAGGCCCAGTGGATCGCGGAGGAGTCCCATCCCAGAGACTGTCGGAGACTTGGGTCCTGCCGAACGATCCGACACTCCTGGTGCAGCGGGTGCAGTGTTCTCAAAGAATGCCACTGAGGGGTGCCACAGAGACTAATGTTTTCACTGACTGTTTGATTTTAAGCATTTTTTTTCCATTTGTGGCTCTTAAATGTTCCCAAGATGATCACCTCAATTACGCTTTTTAAAGTCTTCTATCCCTGAATGAGGATTACTCAACAGAATCAACTTTTGGTATGAATATCAAAGGCTCTTTGTTACTTTCCACTGTTAAAAATGGATCAATGACAGAACAGTCCAGTCCCCCCCTCCCACACTTCCTTTTTCTTGTGCACGCTTCAACCCCCTGCCACTGACTCTGTATCTGGTGCTGCTTTTAACTGGGCTGTGGAGGTCCAAGCTTCCACTCCTCAAACCCTGCCTTCTTAACCACAAGACTTTGGAGCCTCTGTTGTTTTATGAATGCATGATGTAGGCTGAGGTCAGCGTGGTATCCTTATGGAAATTCCTACATTTTCCATGTCTCCTGGTTCAAGTAATATGCCCTCACCGGGATGAGCTTTTACTTAACATACACTTAGGGATCAGCCAATAACCAGCAGGTTGACAGTGGGGTTAGTGATCAATATTTCCATGTCTTTTATCAATTTATGTATAATAACGGGAGCAGGGTTTGAATGCTGTTTGATGTGCTGTTTAGCTGTGTATCTTTTTTTTGCCCCATTTCCTGTCTAACCCCTCCCACAACTTGTTCTGCCCTGTTTTCTCTTCTTACAGGAATAATACTGAAAATGAAGGTTGTAGCATTGCATTTTTAACAGTTTCTAAACATCTTGTGTGTTCTGGTTCTTTTTATCATTTATATGTCCTAGTGAGACGTTAGAGACACTTAGACTTGCCTTGCTCCACAAACTGTTACTTATTAATTTTCAAATTTTTTACGGTTGTCAAGGTAGTTTCTCTAGCATAGTTTGTTGCAGCCTATTAAATTGCATTAAACAAAGTTCCAACATATGTACATTGCTTTATATGTGAATATATTGAATAATAGTTTTGGGAATGTTTAAATAAGCAGACACTTTGTAAAAGTAAAAATTTCATGATTGAAAGTGTAAATAACTTGTAAAATTACCAAAGCTGTATGCAGGAGAGCAGGGTCAGGGAGCACAGTGAGCCCGCCCATCCTCACCAGCTCAGCCCTCCTGATGCAGTTCCCACATCAGTCTGTCAAACTTAGGAGCCCGCTGACTCACAGCCCTCTATTTTATTTCAGTGGTGGGGGAGATTTTCATGTGTTTTTTGTTTTTGTTTTTGTTATTATTTTTCTATGTAAAAAGTTACACCTACTCTACTGTAAGTATTGTGTAAGCACATTGTCATACCAAGTGTAAAAACATTTTAAAAGATAATAAACTTTTTTTGTAAAATGGTATCCATTTGCATACTGTGCAGTTGAATTGAGTTCACTTGGGTGTTAGTTAAATAGACTCCAGCATATCCAAGCAAATTTACATGCTGCTACATGATTAACTGCTGAGTGCACACCCAATCCCATTTTAGATTGGCTCCCTCCTCTAATACGGAATGCACATGGCACGAATACCACTATGTAACGTGCACATTGTCGAACCAGATGTTTGTCCCCAGTAAAGGGAATCAAAGTGATCGTCTGCCTTCATTAGAGATGTTCAATGTGCTCCCAACATGGAGACCCATGAAGTGAAGTGTAGTCTCCATATTTGTGCTTCCCCCTCTCTCCTCTATCCCAACCCCCCTCCCAGTCCTCCCAGTGTGCGTGCATTCCGCACCCCCATGCCTGTGTGCTCCAGACCGCAGTTAAGCAGTTCAGTCTGGAGTGTGTGACGGCATGTAACACTGCCCTAGGCCATGCAAGATGCCTGCTCCCACTTAGAACTGAATGCAAAGAGATCATTAACAGATTTCAGAGCAGAGGGGGAGCAGGAGATTGTGCCTCAGAGAGAAAGAGGAAACTTTCCTCCAGAATATTTTGGATGAAGCTATTATTTTCATTTCACCCTCAAATTATTAAATACCTCTTAACTGATTTCCCTCAGGGTTTTGGATAGGAAATGTTCTTATACGCTAAATCCCTTGATAAGGCGTAGTATATTCCAAATATGTCCAAACTTCCTTACTGTGTAATCCATCAAGTGGTTTTTATACTTTACTGTGACAGACATATCTATAGGAGTGTGGTTGTGGTCCAGTTCAGTCATTTTCAGATTTCCAAGGAAGCTGGAAAGGCTACTTGCCATTTGACGGAAAATATACACAGAGGCATATAACAAAATATACAAACTACATAAGCAATGGCAGATTTAATGCTAAGCTGCTAATTGTTTAGGGCCTAAGGGAGATATGACACAAAGACACCCAAAAATAGAACTATATTTATCAAATTACTGAGGCATGTTGAATCTTTTTGTTATTTGTACTCTTTCCGCCCTATCAGATGAACTCAAATACCTCTTCATACCACCGCCATTTAAATTTCAACCAATTATCCTGGATACTTCAACTGCATAGCCCTCAAGCTGCTCCTTTAGCTGCTATTTTAACCATTTACCATCCATTACTTTTAGCTATTCCACCATTTATCTCAAGCAAGTTCACCATTCATAGTTTAAGTGAACTATTTCAACTGGTTATTCAAATGTTATGCATTACTTACCATTTTAATTCATTTTATTGCACTACTCCAAAATCTCACACACCACAAGCAACTGCGCCCCCCCCCCATTTGAGAATCACTGATCTACAGCATTAAATATCAAAATATCATCTAGGCCAACTCTAAGACGCTATACTTACTGTGCAGATTTAGTTTTTAGAGTACTTTTATAGTCCTTCTGTTACAACAAAAAAGCACTGACTTATCAAAGTTATTTATTAAATGATAAACTCTTACAAAAACACATTGAGGCATACCATTAGGAAATATATACACAAAACCATACATGGCTGGCGTTAAAAAAATATCAAACCATCTGAGGCCATCACATATACGTAACTAGCACACTGCAGATGTCCATGGTTCTCATAGATTTTATTTAGTTATAGACTTGAAATGGTGATGAAATAAATACAAAAGCAAGATGGCAACTTGGACACATGTATTGATGTTAATGGTGTCTTTGGATTTAAACTTTCTGTGTCTAATATGAGAAATCAAGGTGACAAAGATGTAGCTGTGTGTTATGAATATAGAGGGAAAAGATTCATTTCTATTCCTTTTTCTTCATTCTTCACAGTTAATAAGATCTCGCTGTAAGCCATGACTTATCAAAACGAAGCAATATTTAAGATATTTACAATCATAAATGATTATTGGGAAGAGCTAAGAAAGGTGTTTTTAGATTTCACATAATGCTTCATTTTTGTGTGTCTTCTGATGAGATTTGAAACATCACTGGTGCATAATATAACCTCAGTGTAAATAAATACCAAGGCTACTCAGAGACTGCAGCAGAAAAACAATAAGAAAAAAACCAACAGAACAAGGCAACACATTTTAAAAACCATCTAGTGAGTAGTTCCCATCTACACATTTGATAAAGTGTTCTTATAAAGAAAATACCAACTACAAGCATCATTGGCATGGTTAAGAAGACCCTTGACCTCTACTGGATTTCTACTGGAGAAATCTGATCAATTGGCCGTGTAAACTCTTAATTGGGTGGAGTTTTCTCTTTTTAGGCAAGACCATGTGAACGGAAATGATCCAAATAGGGAAAGTCGTATCCTGTTTGAAGCATGGTTGTTGGCAAAAAATTAACTGCAATACCAAAGTGGTTGCTGCAGTTGTGATTCATGAAACTAGCCAGACTAGAAATCTGATGATCTAAGCCGTCCATTTGTTTACAATAGCACGTGGGAGGCTGAGGTTTTTAAGAGGGAGCATGGGAAAATCTGATTACTGTTCAAATAACATGTAAACAGTGGTTTTAGAATGAGCAAATACATGCAACACGTGTAAACACATTATTCTGTTACCTGCTCCTAACCGAATAGTCACAGTAACCAGAATTTGTGTACATGTAAACAATGTTGAATATGTACTTATAGCGTATGTGGAGGTTATTGTAGGTCTAATCCAATCTGACCATGTTTCTGCAGTGTCCATTGAGCAAGGCATTGAGGCTTAACCATAATTGAAATAAATTGTTCCATCAGTAGTGGCGGTGCGACATACTGTATATTCAGTTAATTTCCCCTGATAACTGGTGATTTGCTTGAACAGACACATTGCAGGATACTTTTTCATGCAGTTGGATCCACATTAAATGAAATGGTGACATAAACTGGGGTAGAGGAAAGTGTTACAAGAAAATTTTTTGGTCTCTTTTGTTAGTAAAAACTGAATAATAAGTGTCCCAACAAAGCAAACAGAACCATCAGTGGTAGCCTCCAACAATGACAGAGGTGTTGATTTTAGAGTGCCTCTTTTGTCATTTCAAGTTCTTCTTTTAAGTCTGTTAGTGTCATACGTGTTCGGGGAGTTGTCAGACCACAGAAACGCCCTGCGTGGGGCAGTTAAGAACTGTTACCACGTCAGGCCTCTCGATGCGAGCCAGTGCAGAACACAGCAGTCCCAGAGTGGAGCCTTCTTTCTGGGCCCAGTTAGAGAGGAGCGTGTGAGCGGGGGCCTCTCCACGCCCAAACAAGTCCAGCTGTTCAGGCTCATAGCCCAGCGCTGCCCCCAGCTGCCTCCACCCCCTGCCCCCTCCCTCCTGCAGGAGGCGCTCTACCTCTTCCTGCCTGTGGGGGGGTAGGTTGATGTACAGACGATTGTCCTGCTTGCTGTCCCTCTTCGTACCTGTGGAAACGTGAACAAAATTAGCTTACCGTTTGGCTAGATCTACCAAAAAAAACCACACTAATAGGATATTTCAATAATTATAGTATTTATATGATTGATGCATACGACTAATTAATCATTAATTAATGTTCTGATGATAATTCTTCTTCTTTTTAGAAATACTAAGTTCAACATCTTACAAGCGTGAAATAAGAAAGCCTCCTCATCACTATTCTTGGGAGGAACATTGGGAACTTAAAGGTGCCCTGTGTTGTTCTTGTCCTTTTGTTCACACAAGGACTTTAAAATCAATTATGAAACATACAAGTAGCCATTAAGTATTAAAAGTAGTGAGGTAACGTGATAAGTATTAGTCGAAATTCTTGCCTTTGTGATTAGACGTGATTTTCTGTGCTTTTTCTTCAATAATCTAATAATAAAGTTCAAGATATTTTAGTAACCTTGTTAAAATGTCTTCTGAAGCCTCAAAAACTTTAATTTAGTTTAGTTTCAAAGACCCTGTGTCTACCACACCTTTGCTGGGCTGGTTGTCCTGTATGCTGTGGGAGTCCAGGAAAACGCCGCTGTCACTTTGGAGCTTTTCTCCTTCTGGAGATGTTCCCAACTCAGCTGCACGGGCTTTAGAGAGAGCCCTCTTCTGTTTACATGATCTCCAGCTGAGAAGAGCAGAGAAAAACAATGTCAGTTAAGCTACCCACAGTGAGATATTTTTCATCCCAGGGCCAATCTTATAATGATTATTACATCCATTTAAGGACTAGGACCCATCCCTAGTGAAAACTCACCATTTATAAGCCACATAAACAAGCAGACCCAGCACCACAGCAGCAAGAACAGACACGTAGGCCAGAATGTTATTGCTGCCACCATCATCCTGTGGGGAAAGCGTTCCAGGGGCAGGAGTGGCGTGCCCTTTCCCTGTCACCGTCTCGACACCTGGCAAGCGAGGAACATCTCGGGTCCCACCGGGCAAATCCAGAGCAGGACGAGACAGAATGTGCAGCTTCTTATCTATTAAGATTGAGAAAGGGAGAGACATGTCAGGGGCAGTGTCATTGCATCTGCACATATGCACATCAGAAACACATTTGGGCTGCCCAAATTAGGGCAAGGAATAATTCCACAGAAGCCTGTACGCCTGGTGTAATGATAGCCTCAGTCATCCCGGTCCCCTGGGGTTTTGAAACCTTTCATTGCCCCTGTTTCCAGCCTCGTTCTCCCTCCTGCGGTCAGCCTATTTTAGGATCAAACACTACAAGGTACTGTGCTGACCTCTCTGGGGTCAATGGGTCATGACATATGGAACCAGAGTGTGTACAGATGACCTTACTCCTGGAGAGCGCATGAAGCCATTTGGGAGCAAGCAGACTAGCTGTCAGGGTCTCGGCCTTCGAGTTCTTCGGGGCAGTTAACCTAAAGACCTGTCAAGCTCATACCAATTGGATTACAGCACTTCAGTGGGCCCTTTTTTCATTACTTGTGTTTCCCAGCTCAGAGTGTTACAGAGTGTTCAGATGAGGTGTGGATGCAGGTGTTGACCACATGTCCTTGTATTTTCACAGACTCTCCCACTCCCTGTCCCCCTCCCTTTATCTCATTCTTTTATCTTTTACGATTGCTGGCTTCCCCTGCATTAGATCTTTAAGGGATAAAGCTGGCACTATTCTATATTTTTCTTATTGTCAGCAAACCCTATTAAAACTCTGAGGACTGCTCGAGGGTTACTTAAGGGGGGGGTTGCAAAATTATTATTATATTATTAATTATTATTGTTTGATCATCGTTTGAAAGTGTTTTTTTTTTGTTTTTAAAAACAAATTTAATTATGTCTGAAAATACACACTAACATGAATCCAACATCAATTTAATACAATACATGTAGGTGGGGGTCTTTGCTCTTTCCTTAGCTACGGGGTCCTTAGCTTGAAAAACGTTGAAGACCCCAGCATTGAAAGACCAAAATGAACAAAGCATTACTCCGTCTTTAAATACTTTCCAACTTCCTTACTCTGTGGCACTCAGCCCCAAGCTCACTTGTTCCTACTGAAGATGTAAAACAGGTCACAAATATATATATAGCATATTCTTTTTAAAGGCAAAATACAGCAGAGACTGTTGTTTTTATGACATTACAAATAGTGTATTTGTTGGGAGACTATTTTCAGCTGCAGATTTGGTGCGTTAGGAAGAATTTAGAGCAGCAGGAGCATGACTGTGGGACTGATTAAAAGTTAGCAACAGTGCTCATTCATCATAATGCAGGACCATGGCACCCAGAACAATGGTGTTCTTGAACAATGAAGGTCTATGGAGGCAAAGACATACATAGCAGGCTTTGGCTAAACTAATAACACATCTTTTTTGTCTTTTCATGGGATTTGTTGACAAAAAGGCAATTATAGAATATCACCAGACTAGCCCTTTAAAAATCAAATGTAATTTCTTAGTCTAATTAGTCCATACAACTCACCCATGCAGAGTGTGTCAGAGTTGGGCATGCAAGCTCGGATCTCCACTTCACTGTCAGAGCACTGGGTGCAGGTCTGGCAGGGTTTGGTGCTAACCAGCTCCTCAGAAAATGTTCCTGGGCCACACATCTGGCACAGTCTGTTTCCCTGTGGGCCACACTCCCGGATAACACCCTGGCCACGACTGCACTTGGAGCAAGACGCACACAGGCCATGGTCGCTCAAGAAGAAGAAGCCGCTGTCACATTCACATTGTGTGTCCTGAGTGGCGGAGCAAGAGGCCCACATGGGGACACTCAGTGGGCACTTAGCGCACGGAAGGCAATGGCTGAGGCCTTCGGATGAGGAAAATGTTCCTGGGAAACAGATTGCAAAGTGTCAAGCAGTGTTTCTCTCACAAATATCAGTGGCAATGAGAAGACACAGTTTCAAATCTTCCTGCTTCTTGAAAAGACGACAGAGATAATGATAAGGCAGGTAAAACATATTCTACATTGCTAGAGTAACATTAGATTATAATTGCTCACCCTGTGGGCATGGTGTGCACTTGGTATCCTCTTTCCCACACTCTACCTCCACTCCAAAGCCGGCGGGACACAGACTGCAACACTGCCCTGATTCAGTGAACTTGCCACTGGCACAGGCATCTCCAAGAGTAACCTACAGTAAATAGATGACATAGTTAGAAAAAATACCACCACTGTGTAACTAAAAAAACTATCCATGCAGGCTATTTTTGAATCAACCGTCTTTATTTTGACACAGGGTCAACAGTTACAGGGTGCATGTTTAACGTGAGTAGTTGCATTTTCTTTGTCCGAGTGTTCTGCCTTACACCACAGGCGGGAAGGAAATCACCCACACATCCCGCCCTTGTGCAATTAAAGTAGCAGGGAACGGGGTGAACTCAAAATGGCCTTTTTATCGTTTTATCTACCTCAGTTTTTGCCTTTTAAGTGAGTCCTTATCTACAAGTGGGTAATGGAGAGCCCGACTTGAGTTATGACATGAGGGACAGATCGGACATTCCTAACGGCTTGTGCAGCAGGGTTGGTGCTTGACGGGACTGGCTGGCTTTAATCAGATGGCTTTAGACCAGTGGAAAGAATAAGACATAAAGGGGTGAAGAAAAACACTGAGAAAAGGAGGTAGTAAGATGTAAAAAAGAGCTTCCGCCCTCCCACTCTTTCCAAATCCAAATCAGTGTGAATGACAATGTGTATCTGTGTGTGAATACAGTGTGTGTATCTCTTGACATCAAAAAAAGGGGGGGAGGAGGTATATAAAGGAGACGGTTCCAGCCCCAGGCAAGGGTGTCAGTTAACCAAGGCTGCCCAGCATCCAAGTGTCTGTTTGGGTGAGAGAGGGGGCCTTTGAAGTTGCCAAGCCCCGCAGGTGTGTCTATGGAGGTCAGTATTTCACTAACTCCCCTTCTCTAGGCTCTGAACAATGGCATTCTAAACATGCACACATTTAAGGTAGATTGGCCTGCTCCGCCTGGGGGCTGACAAGAGCAAACAGATGTCTAACAACTAACCTCCTGCAAAGGGGAAAAGTAACAGCTAAACAACCCACTGATGTCTCTCTTTGTCTCTGAAGTCTGCCAAGAAACACAGGCAACGTGTGTGAACCTGTAGAGCCTTTCGACAAGCCCACCAGAAACACACACACTATAGACACACCAAGCTATGCCCCCAGTCACAAAACACTGAAATGTTCCATGCTGATACTACAGGCATAATAGCTTTGAAACGGGGTTCACCTCGTTCCAAAAACAACGGCCTGTTTTACTGCGGTGCTTACAGTGGAGCCTGATGATATCTGAGCACCGGCCACAGAACCCAGATCAGAGGTATTAGGGTGCTGGGGTGGTAGAGTCCAGCAGGCAGGAACCAGTAGGATGTTTGGAGTTGGCAGACTGTGACCAAGCCTGGACCATAATAACTTGTAGTACAAAGGCTTCTTCTGGTTGGTCCTCTCCGTGTGACAGATGGAGCTCCTCTACTAACACAAACTAACCTCTTAACCTTCAATCTATACTGGTAAATATTTGGTGACAGTGGCTCTGTTTAATTTTTACCTCCAGCTTGGATTTCTACAGTGCGTGGTGTGGGTCTAGGCTGGTCTAGCTCTGTAAGTCGGCCTGCAGGGCCAACGCGGTTCAGAGCAGGAACTGCCAAAGGCTTGGCACTTTACCCACTGGTGCCTAGCGTACAATAAAATATTTAGTCCCTGCCCCACTGGAGACGAGTGGGAACAGTGTTCTACTCAGTAGAGGAATGAGTAAATCATTATCTACTGTATACACAGTTCGAAATAATACTATATATGGACACCACTTAATGTTTATTGGCATTTATTACACTTAATACTGTAAGGAATCAATCATGGTTACACTGATTAAAAAAATTAGACAATTAATCCACCACTCGTAACGAGTGTGTATGGTAATAAAATGAACAGTTTTAAGGTGTGTGGCTGAAGAATAAAGAGAGCACAGCTTGCAATGATTGTTTACAAAGTCAAACTATTAGATTTTTATTATTAGCTTTTATTATATAAGCTATTTTACTTTAGTGGCACATAAATCAACTTGTTTTACCATATAAACATTTATTTAACTCTGTTCTATTTAATTATTTAAACTATTATCGATCACTGTGAAACCAAAACCTTAACCTTAACAATCATACTTTGGCATCATATCCAATTTTCATCCAGAAGATAAATTTGGTGTGCATGCAGGCTTATCTGTTGCTTTGGGGGCAGAGAGTCTGAAGGGGGCTGCAGTTGCTTTTTCCATTTAGGTAAGAAGTTGCAATCTGAAGGGATTCCCCAGTGAGAACAGACGGACCACCGAGGAGCACAGCTTTCAATGGGGCTCTCAACTCCACGGTTGCCGGAGTCACTCAGTCATCGCGGATAACACACACACAAACACACACTTCATTTCAGCCCTCTCCGTGCCTGAAACATTTTCTGTGTCCTTTTGAAGTGAGACTACTTTTGAAGCACATCGGCTGGAGTTTCCACAGTTAATCTAATCTGTGTGAAAATAAACACACAAAAGGATGCCCTCTCTCTCTCTCCCTGTGAAGAAATTGACCCATGAGCCTTTACATTCTGGCTGTGTTACAGCAACAGACAGAGGTCTTTCAGCAGAGACAGCCTGAGCTGAGGGAAAGTTGTTGCACATCCCATCTTCACTGATTACTGTCATTAGTATACAGGGAGCGTAAGGGACAAATTAAAGGACATGGGTTTCTCTTTTTTTTCCAGCATCAAGTTCACCCAAAAATACGATCCTAAATCAAAGAAGACAGCACAAAGTGATCTGTTAACTATTAATCTGCTGTTTTTTTAACTCTTACCAAAGAACTGAGAAGTGGTTCAAATTTTCTAAATAATCATGAGGTCTGCCCCCCCCCAAAAAAAAAAAACAAAATCTGCTTAACTACTCTATGGAAATTCAAATGACTGTGGTAACAAACTAAACCACCCCCACCTCCTCCCAACTCATGCACACACACACACACACACACACACCACAAACTGGGAGAAAATGATGATAATTGCTTTGCTCCGGATATCCAGACCCAGCAACACTGAAATCTAGGGCCACATTTTTACCAGGAGCTGAAACAAATATATCAAAGTACGGAAAACTACAGGCAATATGAGCCTTAGAGAGCAAGTTACCAGTAGAACATAACAAGTAAGCGAGTGTGCTCACATACTGCATTAAATCCCAGGGAGTGATAACATAATCATTTGACAGCACAAATATTCACTTTTCAGCGGCCTAAAGAAACTCCAGTCAGTGCAAAGTCAGTGTGTTTGCAAAGCAGAAGAGAAACTGCATCTCAGAGCTCAAAAAGAAACCCTTTTGATTAGTTTACCCTCATATTAAGGATGAGATACAGATCTTTTTAAGAGCTGAAGTTTTATCTAAACACTTTGATCTAACAAAAGTGCTTTGACTCTGAAGAGCGTGTCCAGGCAGGACTACAAGCCCCATGGGCTTTTTGAGGTAGATGAGTGTCAAATTATTGTCTGCAACTGTGGAGGCAGTGGCCTTCTTTTCACACAGATCCTGGCTTAATAACATGCTATCAAACACCACTGAAACTATCATTTGTTCATAAAATACATCATTCATCACCGTGTAGCTGCATAATCTGGGTAAATAGTGAGCTACTGTGAAGTTTCCAGGATGTTTAATGACCATAGAAGTCTACAACAGCCTGTACAGTAGGGTAGGCCACGGTCCAAGATGTGTCTTTTGAGGAACAAGCAAGTATTTATAGAGAACTGAGGAGTGGTTTGCCTTCACTTAGAAACCTTACATAAAATACCGGATGAGATGTAATCAGAAGTCTCCCCTCACTCTTTCCACTATTTGCCATACAGCACGACAACTAACATAATTATTCACCAACAGGGGACATGTGACACAGCCTTAATGAAATATGGCTCTGTGGTGTAAAACAGATTTCCTTTGGGAACAATGGTGTTAAACTGAACTTGGTTTGAGTTTACAAAAAGCTACTATTATGATGCTACTGCTGATCGGAGTGTGGAATCAGAAAAGGAGCACACCATACAGGCGCTTGAGTTGTGTTGAAATGTGTGTTATTGTGTTAGTAAAGCAGTAATGAACTGTTGCTTACTTTTAACAGCAGGAGCGCGCAGATGACAAACAGTCTCATGTCTTCAGTCTCCAAAAATCCTTCGAGCGGACGGATTGGTGCGCCTCAAAATCTCTGACACACAACTTTTTTTTCAGCCCTCAACAATCGCACAAAAAGTGGCATCAAAACTTTCAAGTTCTCGAAATGTAAATGTGACACTAAAAAAAAGAGCAACGTGCTGTTTTTTTTTTTGCAGACGGGGAAGTTCGGTTCGGTGTAGTCCTGTAATCAGATGGGGTTTTTACGCATGAGAAAGCGGCTTTACAATGCAGGCTGTGTAATCCGTAGGTTCTCCCAGTAACAGCGCGGCAGACGCATTTCCTTCTCTCAGTGTGTTCCCTGCTGATACTGTGTACGTTTACACAAAGTTTCTTCTGTTTCGGCTGGCAGGATGCACGGGCTGCCACCTCTCCTGCAGCTTTGCAACAGATGAGGCAGGAAAAAGCTCCTGCAAGCTCTCCTGGGCCTTTTCTCCTCCCATCTCCTCAGCTTTCACACTGGCTTCCTGATTGGCTGCATCCCTGCGACGCGGTGCTGGGAACAGGAATGTAATGGAAGGCGAAGAGCCGCAGTCAAGTCGGTCATTGTCAATGTGTGTATGTGTGTGTGTGTGTGTGTGTGTGTGTGATTCTGTTGTCATGTGATTGATACACTCTCACACCTGCAGGAATCAACAAAGAAGTGTTTAAGAAAACACAATGTGATGTCGTGGACTGCAGATTTACTGTATGAAAATACTACCAAGCAGTGATATATGGAGACCCAAAGTCTTTAATTAATGAAAGAATAAATTCTATTATGAGATTAAAAAGTGCATCAATAAATACAGACACAAAAGCAGTGGTGGAATATAACTAAGTACATTTACTTAAAATAGACATTTGATGGTATTCTTATTTTCAATACACTACATTACTTGGCCACTATAGTCAGATTAAATTGCCTACCAGTCTATAAAATAGTTAAAACACAACTACCAAATTAACAAAATGAATGCATCAGTAATGTTAACTCAGAATGTACTGTATACCACTCACACTGCCCGTTATACTGCAGTATACTTTAAGTACATTTTGCTCATAATACTTAAGCACCCACAGGAAGTCATTCCTGCCTGTGGCCATCAAACTCTTCAACTCCTCCCTCAGAGTGTCAGACATTAAACCCTGAAATGTGCAATACTCTGGTTAACGTTCTGGTTTTACTTTGTCATTAATACTGCAATTATACTGTATAATGTTCTAACACCTATTTAGGATCCAGTTCTCAAGCATTGTCAGTATTTAGTCATTAGCATTCATTCATTATACTTATATTATTATTTTACACTGTACTACATAGGTCTTATTACTATTTTTAATATATTGTTATACTGTAATATAATGTACACATTATACTCTTTACACATTACGCTATTATTTTCTATTTTCTATATTGTTGTTATATATTGTAATTTAATTCACATATTTTAACATTCTTATTATTATTTCTATTTCTTATAAGGTCTTGTTTTGCAACTTGAGCAACTGTAAAAGGCAATTTCCCTCCAGGGATCAATAAAGTATTTCTGATTCTGATTCTGATACTTAAGTAGAAATGTGTTTACTTGTGATTGAGTTTTTTTTCACTGTGGTATTTCACCACTGCAAAATATATAAAAGAACCATGAAATTGTAATATAATCCAATAAATGTATAAAACTCAGCCTTGTACTATAAAAATGTTCTTCTCACAGTGACATAGTTTAATTTGTCTCTATTTATTTAAGATTATGTTTCTTATTTTTCTATTTATTTAATACTACACAGTAATATCATACAATGGTTGCTGGCAGTGACTAAGTACATTTACTGAAGTGTTGTACTCAAGAACAATTTTGAGGTACGTGTGCTTTACTTGAGTAATTCCATTTCTTACTTTATATTTGTACTCCACGACATTTTGGATGTAAATATTGCACTATTCACTCCACTAAATTAAATTCAGATTATTAACACACAATACAAATCAACAAAATCAGTTATGATGTAGTATTACAGATTCAACTATGCATTATATAAAGTAGTTAAAATTAGTACATTAATGCATCAATAATTGATACAACAATTTTGTATCAATTATTCTGAAATGGGCCATTTCACTAATACTTTTACTTTGTTCCCACAACATTTATCATAATCAGTAGTGATTTTTTTTTTAAACCCAGGATAAAACCTTTAATGGAGGTCTGTTATATGACACCACTTTACAACCCTACAGAGATACTTACATAGAGCTGTGATCAGTTGTTATCAGAAACAAAAGAGGGCATGTGAATCAAACAAGATGCTCTTAAGAAGAAGTGCATGTTTGATCTCAGCAATTCAAAAGATTAGAAAACCAACGTAGGGTAAATTACACACCTTGTAAATTCTAGTGAATGCATCGCAGGGGGGCCTGGAGACTTCAGAGGAAAACAAATGGAGAGATCTCTCAGACACAATACTACTTGCACTTCAAAGCCTGCTGAGGGATGAGGGGAGACAGAGGGGATGTTCCTGCTCTGATAAAACTTCAAGCTATATTTCAGTCACATGAGTTTTCTCTCATCCATACAGAAAAAAAACCCTTCTAAATTTCTGATTGTATCAGTTAATGCTTTACTAAAGATGAGTATGCACGGCTTAAATGTCATTTACATTGCAAAAATCTCCATCATACCAAAGGATTCTTGTTCAGTGTTGTGACACAAAAGTCCTTCTTTTCTTAAAATAAAAATAACAAAAAATAACTTTGATGTGATGTGAGATCATTTAATGTTTTAGTATTTTTCTTTCTTTCTTTATTAATTTCCCACATTTCTAAGACAAACCAACTTGTTTTTATAATCAAGTGCCATTTGTAAGTAGCTTTCTGTTGGTTGTTGTACTCTTTAAAAAATATATTTTGGGGCTTTTATTACCTTTAATTGATAGTGACAGCTGAAAAGTGGCAGGAAAGGAGAGACAGAGAGAGAGATAGAGAGGAGATTACACACAGCAAAGGGCCACAAGTTGCAGCAAGCACCCAGCTGTACATAGGTCGCCAGTTCCCCCAGTTGAGCTATCAGGGTAACACAGGTTGTTCTAATCTTGTTGTACTGGTGCACTTACTTCACTTGTTTAAAGAAAAAAATACTTTTAGGACAAAAACTATTTGCAAAGATGGAGATTTTTGCAGTGCATTGGAGCAAGCATTAAATAAATAGCCAAATAAACCCAAGTTTATCAGCAATCAGACAAATAAACATTTTCTGTCCCTTCTTTATTCTTTACTTGCTGTAGGGGCACCGACTCCTTTATCTGAGGGCCGAGTTCCACTTGTCATACATGAGTGGGAACGATAAGGCAGCTATAAAAAAAGAAAAACATGGTTTTGTCCACAGGCCCAAGGAGAAATTAACCAGAAGGGGGAGAGGGGGAGGAGTGGGAAGAGGGGGAGGGCTGAGGTACTTGATGGAAGCCTGTTTGAGGGTTGTTGCGGTTCTTGGCAGGAACAACTTAAACAACACCAAAATTGCAGCACTTCACGACATCCATCCCCTCAGCCTGCCCTCAGGTCTGGAGAGGTCAGAGGGAGATACTGCCAATAAATGAGAGCGAGGTGTCAACCCCTCCCACCATTGTCAATGGGACCACATCAGAGTGACTGCATCCCTCTTCACCCTCCTTCTCCACTTCCCTTATTCACTATGCTGTGGTTTGTATTTGACTGGGGGTCTACAGGTCTGTTTTTATCACCCACCTCACCCCTCCCCACCCCTCTCAATTGTACCCCCGGAGGTGTTTATGGGGAGGCTGACAGGATGTTCGGCCCACCGGGAGATCAAAGTCTCTTCTTCAAGTAAATGTGCCATTGCTCACTGTGACCTTTTCAACTCTAATAGGGCTAACATCACAGACGCATGCAAAGGCTGGGATTACAGTAGAGGAGTTGGATGATCTACGTTGCGGATCAGTTTCCTTCCTGCTGTGGTTCACACACAAGAATCAGAGCTCACTTTTCAGTAATGGGCGATCATTTTTAGGATATGGGCTGTGGTTCACAGAAGAGAGAATTCCTGAATATAAGTGTGCAGTCACAATTATTGGCCATATTAGGACAATATCAAGAGAAGAGCTTTAAGACTACAGATACAAATTATGGAGCGGAGAGAGAAAACAGACGACCACAATTCCCATTGTCATGTTTAAGTTACACGAAGCACAGGCTGCTTGATTTTTAAAAAGTGTATTTTCAACATCTTCCAAGAACAATACAAAGGCTAAATAATAGTGGTTAAAGAAAAATGGATCAAGTCCAAATTCAAGGCAGTGCTGACCTTCATTTAAGGCTTTTTGTGTTACTTTAAATCTAAATCAGGACATCTGAACAACAAGTAACATCCCATTATACACAGTATGACTTAAACCTACTTTCTGTGATTGTATAGACCCAATTCTAAAAGGAAGCCTTCCTTTTGATTAAACTGAAGGCTCTGAGCGTTTCTGCATGATTAACTAGGTGAAACATTACATCCATAACACTAAGAGCAAAACAGAGTGGTGTTACATGAATCGATATCAGTATGCATAATAGCAAACTAGATTATCAAATGTGAACAGCTACTTACCGGTATGCAAACACTCCTTTATATTAGACACACACTTAGCTCATCTTACAGTTGTATAATTTGAATAAAATGTGTTTTAGACAGTGCATTCAGGCTGCACTGATTGTGTGTATTTCCAGGGTGGAAACCAGATGAACTGATAAGTAAACATTTTAAAGATAGTTTCTTTTATACTTACTTACACTTAACGTTATTCTGAGCATCACTTACAAAGAATAGGTGAATTTTCTTTATGTGTGCGCCATGTTATGGGTATTGCATTCGCCCAAATAGTTCCCTTCGTCTCTCCCATCATGACACTGCATAACAACTACTTTGTTCCAACCACAGTAAAAGAAGCTGGCAGGAAGTGAATTCCTCTGAAGCTCACTCACAGACTTTCTGCTTACGCGTTTCAGAGAGTCATCAGATGTTTTCAGTGCTTCATAAACAGCACAATACCAGTACAGGCAAGTATGTGCATCTAGCCAACAGATTTCATTAACAACTTATCTGAAATCTGAGTCATAGTGGGAGTGGTAAGGTGTGCTCAAATCTGATCAGCAGGGATAAAATCTTAAATATAGTGATTTTAAACAGAAACAGATAATTGTTATTCAGTGTTTATACATGGCTCAAGACACAAGCTAAAAAAAGGCACTTTTTAGATCAAATAAAACAGGGATACAGTCATGTGATAAACAGAACTAGTACAGACACATTTGTAAAGGCCTTTACTCCATTGTGTGTAAGGCATCAGAAGGCTCTCCTCTTGAGTTTCCTTGCATCCAAGCTCCACGATCATGATAAAAAAGTGAATGTATTTCACATACTTGACCATTAAAGCAGTTATTGCTTTAACTGTAACAGTTTTACATTGCT